TATTTTTTTTTTTTCCCCTGTCCAAATATTGTCTGCAAATTCTAAGAAAAAACGGGGTTACCTTGGAAGCACAGATGACTGATACTCTCAAAGTAATTTCTACCTTAGTGGTTCAACATGTGAACTCTGCCATTTATTACACTTTTAAGTGAACTGATCTAAATTAAAATCTTCTGAGATCAATAGCTCATTTTTTAAACCACAGAGCATTCCTAACGCATTCCTAGGCCACATAAGTCATATTTTCAGGACTTGAAAGCCGATGCCAGCCTAACGTGGGTTTAGTAGGATATTTCACTGTGGGCCACTTTTATTTATTTTCTTTTGCCCAAATACATTAAATAAATCAGTCACACCAATTATAAATGTCTCTAAACATATCTATTTCCTTCTAGCAACATATTCCCTCTCTTAGAAGGGATCATTATTTTCTGTTGATGTGTAAAAGCAACTCATCACTTGGTCTTTTGTTACCAAGGACAATTTATATCATCCATTGTGGCATTGATATCAGATCATGCTAAAATTTTGGTGAATTTATAGGAAGGAAATAGGGTAAATGATTCTGTAAATGGTGAAACTCACTCACAGTCGTGGTGTTGAAATCAGACAATTACCTAAGACAGTTACCTGATATTGATGATGGAGATTCAAACTCAGTAGTTTTTGATATTACCAGATTGTTGCCTTCTGTATCAAAGGAGGTAGAAGCTCTCATTTAAAAAGCACAAACACAAATTTTGATCACCAATTGCAGAAACATACAGGGTCTAGAAAAGGCTTCAGGAGGTTCTACTTAAAGGCTTGCAGAAACTTGAATGTGATGTTGATAAACCGAGTTTAACAGTTGAGGGTGCTTTATAAAAATAATTTCAGATCTCTGCTGTGTTAGAAAAAAAAAAAGCATCCCGCAGCTTTGGGTGTTGTCTCTTGCATCCTTGCTTCACCCATTTTGGTTTAGGAAGATATCTAAAGCCTGCCTTGGACTGGAATTCTGTGGGCATCCTCCTGTGTCGCCTTTTCCTATGTTCATAATTTAGACAGAGTTTGTGAAAGAGACAGAAAGGAGGACTCCTGGTCGATGCTAGGAGTGTCCCTCCCATTTGCCACATCCATTTTAGTTAAAGAGAAAGTGAGAGGAGCATACATTCGCTTGGGAGTTATCCTCCCATCCTATGCTGACCACATTACAGCCAGTTCTCCTGAGTTCTGAGGTGCCCACGCTTCATCATAAGCGTGGTCATTGCATCTAGGTTTTAATTCACGTGGCTTATGTCATATAACATCCCATCTTTAAAATGCCTTCAGGAGACCTGTAGCCTTGGGAGCTGGTAGAAGCTGTTGGACAAGAAAGATACAGTGTACTGTTAAGACAGAATGTGAGGCAATTTTAATAAATGAATGCAGCACAATGGCAGAATATAAAATCAACGTACAAACTCAGAATCAGATGAATTTCTATACACTGAGAATTAAGAATCCAAATAACTTCATTAAAGATGGGAAAGGACTTGAATCGCGCTTTTGCCAAAGAAGACACCATACAGTCAATAGGTTGAAAAGTGGCTGAATATCACCAGTCACCAGGGAAATGCAAATCAGAACCACAACGAGACATCATCTCATACTTCCAACATGAGTGTCATAAAGCAAATTCCAAAGATGTTAAGTATGGGTCAGATTGTGGGGAAACTGGAACACTTGCATGCCGTTGTTGGGAAAATGAACTGGTACAGCTGTTATAAAAAAATAATGTGGAGTTTTTCTCAGAGGAGAAATGGCATGACAGCAGAATTCTGCTTCTCTGAAAGAACTGAAATCAGGGTCTCAAAGAGATCTTTGTGTTCCCGTGTTCATTGTAGCGTTATTCACAATAGCTAACATGCGGAAGCAACCAGAATGTCCACTGATGGATGGGTGGATAGAGGCATACGGTATGCACGTACCCTGTAAACACTCAAGCACTTGATCTTGAAAAAGAAGAGAAGTCTGCTGTCATAGTCTATTTGCATTAGCAGGACTATAAAGCAGGTAGCTTATGAACAGTAGGAATTTCTCACAGTTGTTACTGTCGGATTCAGTGTCTGCCGCGAAGGCTGGCTTTCTGATTCACAGATAGCTTCTTTGTTCTGGGCCCTCCCAGGGTGCTCACCGAGGCCTCTTTGATAAAGGCACTAATTCCATGCACGAGGGCCCTGTTCTTGTGAATGAATGATCTCCAGAAGGCTCTAGCTCCTATTACTATCGCGTTGGTGATTTGGTTACATACTGCATTTTACAGGGACCCAAACACTGGACCTATACCTACCACAAGGATGGAATTTATGGACAACAGTAAATAAGCCAGTCACAACACGACAGGATCAAACTCGTAAAGGAAGAAGTTAGAATGATAACTTCCAGGATCCAGGGGTAGGAGGCAACAGTGAGTTACTGTGTGTTGGTGCTATAGTTGGGATGTGGTTTGTGCCCCCAAAGTTCATCTACTGCAAACTGGATCCTCAGCGAGACAATGTTGGGAGCTTCTGGAGCCTTCAGGGGGTGCAGCTTGGTGAGTGTGCTAGAGTAGTGGAGGTACTGGGCTGCCTTTCGGAGGTCTTCCAGACCCGTGAGTTACTTCCTGAGAAAAGGGGTATTATCAAGGAGCAAGAAGAGCTGCTCCCTGATCTCTGCCTTCCTTCTCTCCGTATCACCCCCATTCTACCCATGTTTCTACCATGGCACGATGCAAGCAGGGGGCTCTTCACCAGAGCTGACTCCACGCAATTTGGAGTGTCAACCTCCAAAGCTGTGAGGCAGATAAATCTCTTTTCTTTAGAAGTTACCTACTCTCTGTTTTTGTTATAGTACTAGAAAATGGATTAGTATTAATGAACACAAAGTTTCACTTTTAAGCAAAATGAATAATACATTCTGGAGATTGGCTGTGCAACATTGGGCTTAGAGTTCACAATACTACGTTATCTACTTGAGAAATGATATAAGGATGTGAACGTCACCTTATGTGTTCCTAGCATGACAAAGCAAAGAGAGGACGTGGAGGATGCACCTGATGTATCATCTGTGAGATGCAGAGCTTTACTAAAATGGACATCAGGGGATTAGAGTGATCACTGAAAATTGACACCATTACTTTGGATATTAGTTCAGCTAGTTACTTACCAGTAATTGGTACTCAGAAGCAGTGACCACAGTAGCTTTCCTGTGGCGGGTAGCCTTACTCTCCATAGTTTATAGTAGGACACCTGTGGAAATATGAGGCTAACTTGGTGAGACGTTGAGGCCCTGACATCCTATATGAATGGTAACACAGCTAGAGAGCTTGTGGAGGTCTAAGCAACATCCAGAGCCCTGTTTACACATTACCTTATATAATAATTACAGCAGTTCAGTACATTAGTTATTGTTATAGCCACCCACCTTTCCTACGTAAGGAAACTGCTTGAGAGGTTCCCTGGAGTTACCTGACTCACAAACAGTAGCTGTGGGATTCATGCCTGGACCTTCTGTCCCCCGGATGTGTACCCTAACCCTAACCCTAACCCTAACCCTCTAACCCTAACCCTAACCCTAACCCCTAACCCCTAACCCTAACCCTAACCCTCTAACCCTAACCCCTAACCCTAACCCTAACTCTAACCATACAGTCTCCCATCTCCTTATTTGGACTCAGCACAGCTCCCCACAACTGGGCTCCCCGTCTGGAGGCTCTCTACACCCGAGGGCAACATCTGCTGCGGGCCTCAGGGAAACTCATGGTGGAGGGAGGCAAGGCGGCTGTAGGCGCAGTCCCGTTCTCATTCTGCTGGAGCTGGTGATTCGCACCACACCTCACGCGAGCTCTGAGTGTCCCACCGACGACCCTCTCCCCGGAAGGATGAGCTGCTTTCCAGGCAACGTGGACCACAAAGGCTTGTGTCGTCTTTGGTGTCCTTATTGACGACCTGTTTATGTCTTGTCTCAGTTTCCATTCTGCTGTGCCCCCCTGTTTAGAAATCTCTGAGTCAGTGGCTTCCTCTAAATCGTCGTGGGTTTTGCCATGGAACCTGCCATTCCTCTGACCATCAGGGCATGGACTCCAGAGAGGCCCTGTTGCAACTGTTCACCACCGCAGCTTCTGCACTGAGCTGCTCTGCCCAGACGAGCCATGAAGCCAGTGTGTGCAGCTGACTGCGGAGAAGCTCCTCCTCTCCGTCTCACCTTCGAGGGCAGGCTCCGTGCC